CGGAGCACAGACAGGAGCACAGACAGGGCACAGAGAGAACTGCTCCTGTCTGTGCTCCGGCCCACACCAGCCATCTTCAGTATATTGTTCTTTAACTATGCTTGGTGGATGATCATAGTTCATTCAGCAAAATATTTTTTAAAAAGCTGCTGCAGCAGGAGTTTCCTAGCATTCCAAATGAGGTTGCTAGAAGGTGATGAGGAATCAGCTACAGAGGATGCTTGAAGAAATGGATTATCTAAAAGAAATGGATTATGTAAACCACCCAGAGTTGTTCACCAAGTGAGGGGGCTTAAAATTTGATCAAAGAAGGTAATAAACAAATAAATAAAATCTGGATCCCTTTCAGCCAGCCAGTCAGGCAGCTCTGACAAATGAAGTGACACAAGAGATGCCTACCATCAGCTAGACAAAGTTGCTCGATTTCACTTGGAGTTGGACTCCAGTTGGGCAGATCCCTTGAAAGTGACTGAGACACATCTGAGCCCTGTTATGTGGGAAGAGTTTGAGCTAGTTGATCCTAAGGAAGTAGACCGGGTCATTGTGGTTGTGAGCAAGCTGCAGTGGCTCCCAGTTTCCTTTCAGGTGCAATTCAAGATGCTGGTTATTACCTTTAAAGCCCTATATGGCATGGGACCAGCTTGCCTCCCCAAGGACTTCTATCTGTCCTACCAGATTGGATAAGGTGGACATGTCCTAGTCTCTTCCCTTAAATGTTGCCATCTTACAGATCCTAGGAAGTGTGCCTTTTCTGTGGCAGCCCCTGACCTATGGAAGACTTTTCCCCTGAGCTTTGGCAAGCCCCCACACTTTTAACCTTCTAAAAAGCACTTAAGACCTGGCTTTCCCCCAAGCACTGGGATAGGGTGAGAACTTGTTGTGGACTGCATGGAAAAGTTTAGCTGTGGTGCCAGGTCTTTTGCTTTTAAAGCTTTTATTATAGATAGATATTCTTTTATTTTTAGTTGTGAGCCACCCAGAGTTTGGTTCAAGATGGGCAGCTATATAAACATTTTAAATAAATAAATAAATAAAATCATGGGACATCATCATTGACTGCCAATTACAATCCAGCCTTAACCAAAATGCTCATGTCCTGATCACCACACAGTTGGACTTTTGCAGTTTATACAGGGCTATGTTTGAAGATGACTTGGAAACTGCAACTGATGCAGAATGTAGTGATGAGGCTACTAGCTGGAGAAATACACCATTTCCAATAGAAAAGAATATGTGTAGCTTGGGGTTGAACTGTGGAGTCCTTGGGGAGTCCTTGGGGTTCTCTGAGCTTGGTTGTTTTCTTGCAAACGTTTCGTTACCTGGCTTGGTAACATTTTCAGTGCTAGGATGGAGTGGAGATTGCTCTCTGTTTATATACAGTGGCTTGCCCTGCCTGTGTTGGTGTTTTTTTTTTTCCTGGTAGTTCCTTGATTAGGGTATTGTTTACTGCTTGATTATATG